ATTGTCCTCTGACTGGTTCGATGTTAACGAGCGACCTAAAAATTAATTTGGTGTTTTTCACTAATTCAGTAATTGAATTCAAATGTAAACAAACAAATTCTGAATTGCATGAAGCGCAGTAACTAAGCCGGTGATTTTGTTATCAATCTACTGGTCCTTTTCTAGTATTCTCTATGTCCGCCAAAAAGTCACAAATGCGAGAAATAATTGATATAAAACATTCTTTTTAAGTCTTTATACCGTCCATATATATCGCCTGATGAATAATATTAATATAATTCTTTCAATTGTTATTTATATGCATGTCAAATGTCAATCACGCCAAAGTGACTTCCATCAGAATGTTAATTGTCTTAATATTAATTAAAGCTATCTGATATTTTTCGACCATGTATTTATGAATGTACTAGAGTAAATTGTGCATAGCTGAATTACCTTAATAACAACTAAATAGTAGCTGTTAGGCTATATTGTACAGTTTATAGTACTGCAGATCAGCTGTTCCTTTAGGGAGTGTTCATTATTTATGATTGGGGGGGGGGGTGAAATCATAGGGGATCGGGGCAAAAACATTGGTGTTTATATTTTGGGGGGCACCAGAGTTTTTTTGGGGGGCCTCAGAGTAATTGAGGGGGGGGGGGTCATAAAAGTTTTAGTTTTGGCAAATGTTTTGACCTCGTTAAAATATCTGTAGAACATGAACATGAAAATTTGAATTATTAAATGGATGCAAGTTTACAGGAGCTTTTGCACTATTACTAACGTCATAAAATAAAGACTTTTTAATTTTTTAACTAATATTGTACATACCATATTTATACATTTGTACTGTGTTTTATATAAAACAGGGGGGGGGGCATAAAGGCTTTTGTCTTTTCTGGAGGGGGGGTCATGTGAGTTTTGCCGTTGCCAGAGGGGGGTCATGTAGATATTGAGAGGGAGGAAGTGTGAAATGCCGCCCCCCCCCCGAAACCCTAAATAATGAACACTCCTTAAAATACCTCAGTTCACCCGTAGATGGAGCTAGAGAAGGCCTGTCGGGCGTCTTGTACAAACTGATTTTCTCAAGTTTAAATTACAAATCAGTTTTTAACTATTTTCAACATGAATACCAATGAGATGTCATGGTCAATTGTAGTAACAATCTAAAAATTTGTTAAAGCTGTCTTCAATCATCTCAATTGCTGGACTGTTAAGTTTGTATTGTTTGATTCGACCCTTTGTGATCTGCAACGGCTCTTGCACGGTACATAGCACATGCTCAAAAGGAGTCCAACATTCATCTCGTGTTGATGGCCATACGAACGAGTGGATTGTAGTGCCGAGATTACGAGATCTCATAAAGGAGAGGATCCAGCAGTAACTTGACCTTTTGGTGGTATTCGCAGACGCATACCGAATGCATACCTTTCGCTCCAACGGTAATACACCAACGCGGCCGAAGTTCACAAAACTTGGAAAATCCAACGTGTTCACCACTTGATTTTTCTTTGTAGTGCAAATACAGTTCACGTAAATTAGCAAGCAAGAGTCGCTTTTGAACATGGATTCGTTTTCCCTCTGAATTTTTAACGGAAACGAAGTCTTTTTTCCCTGGGCACATTCGCGATACTTCTTCGTCGTTGTAAAAATTGATGACCTTCGTTTCGCTTTCTTCCGACAGTTTCCTTGCTTTTATTGGGCTTATATCGGGTGAAATTCCTTTCGCCTTTTTCAATTTCCGAGCTTTGTTGACCATGAACTTAGATACACCGAACTCGTTTGCGGTTTTTTCTATTGTCCAAGAAGGCGGCGCAAGAGTGATAAGTTTTAGTGTGGCTTCCATGTTTGAAGTGGAGCATTTTTCTTTGATCACTTCTATAATTGCTTCAAGGTCTGTGCACTTTTGACACGTTTGAAGTTCATTGGAGTCAACATTTAAACTACGAGCAACTTCGTCAGTAATAGCCGTCTGCGCTTCTTTAACCTTTCGTTTGGCATGCACCGCACGGTCTCTCTGTGCGAATTTAGTCTTAACTGGAGTGCAACCAAGGGAGCTAAATGTGGCGGCAAGATTATGTAACTTGTCCTCAACTTCAGGCTTATACTCTTCATCTTCTTCGATGCAACTATCATCGATACTTCCAAGATGAGATGAACATTTTGGGCACAGTTTTTGACCAGGCTTGATATCTTTCACAACGAGTTTATTAATTTTGTCCGCGTTTGCAATATCTATTATGCGTAAGGACTTTTTCCTTGCCGTTGTTGGATGCATTTCAAAGGGATCACAACAACTTTTTGCAAAAATTCATACTTGCGTAAATAAACCATTTCATGATGAAAACAGATAACGCTATCATTTTCTGCCTTTAAACCGCTCCTTCGTACAATTAGTTCGACGTCGTCCGCCGGTAGAGCCGCCAACTTATTTGTTCCAACTTTCCTTGCGTAAGTAGTCTTGTGGCAATCTTCAGTTGAGCCGAGTAAAATACCTATTGAACAAGGTTCAAGCTTGCTTGCCATTCGACGTATATAATTAATTAATTATTCAGCAATATAATCTTTATTTCTCCAATATTTAGCTTACGTACCTTTTATAATTCACTTTTTATTTTATATATATATATATATATATATATATATATATATGCACTTAACGTTTTATTTTATATATGACGTCGCTATGTATGGTCATGACATCACAACTGTGCAATAATGTAATCACTATATATATATAAATACATTTTGTGATGCGTGTCAGCGTGTGTACGTACAATTTGGACGCGTTGTGTAATTGTTAGTTATAAAGAAGTAGTCGATCAGTACTGCTTCATAGTCGTACAGAGATAGTCATAGAATTACAGTATGTTCCGTTCCAGTACTTTCAATATTTTGGCGATATGTTGTATGACTTTTGCCTATTTTGGTGAAATTGACATAAATGTCAATTTAGTTAATAAATCACTATTATTTATTAGTTTATAATAATAATTTGTCTGTTTACATTTGAATGAATTCAATTAGTGAAAAACACCAATTTTTAGATCGCTCGTTAACATCGAACCAGTCAGAGGACAATAATGACATTTCTACCACAGATTTAGCGTAGCATTTACTTTAATACAGTGAAATCTTGAGTTTGTGCGATTAGTCCCACATGCTTACTTCCCTCGTCGAAAAGAAGACACATCCAAAAATTGCCGCAATTTAAATCGGTATTTTTAACGTCTGACTAATTATAACGGGCTATTATTGCTAATAAGAATTCTTTGAAGGCTTGTTTTTATGTGTGGATAACATGAATGCACCTAGGCAGATATTTTCCAAGATATTATAGTTCAAATCTACGACGAATTTGTATTTTTTCCATTCTGCCAGTATGTTGATCCCCCGTTATTTACGACATCCTTCATCACATACATTAAACGATGTATTGGTTTAGAAGAGCAGTCTCAGATTTACTACTCTACCAATTTTTTTCTTAATATGTTGAGTGATAAACGAGATATTGATGTGCGATTTATGCCGAAAATTCTGTCAAAATGGCGACTTCCGCCATTGACAATCACGCACTGTTTTGCTTATATTTCCTGAAATACTTAATGTCATTTAACAAAAATTCACACAAATTTTAATTATATAATGATCTAAAAGTGTACCAAAAACCAACTAAATCTGTAATGCTTGTGCAGGAAGTTTAGTCGATTTGGCGTGGAATGACCCCATCGCTTAGGTTTAGATCACTACGTATTTTATAGTTCATTTGATTTGCGATATAAATACCTACTCCTCCTACAATTTTACTGGATCTATTCATATTTACAAAATCATAGTTTTTTAGTTTAAAAAGATCTTTGTTGGCATCATTTAGCCTCGTCTTAGTTAAACCTAGCCTACTAACTGAAATGGCATGGTTAATGAGTTTATGAATTGTTTAAATGATTCAAATTTATTAACTATACTACTAATATTTAAGTGTGCTGTTGAAAAATTATTGCTGAGACTCTCTTGATTTATTTGTTGTTTGGTAGATAATTTGGTAGATAATATTCACAATTGATTTTGGAACGATTATCTATATTTGCGTTGTTTTCAGATATGGGTCGATCCGTCGACAAATAATGAATATCAAAGGAACTTGAGTTCAGAAATCTCACTGAAAATATTTCCAACCAATATATCACTATCATACAACTGAATATGTTTGGAAAGATGATTTAGGCTATGAATTTACTGTTAACGGAAATATTGTCAGCGAAGAAGATATGGATAAACAAAGGAATTTGAAATTCAAGCCTTTCGACGCAAGTAATAATATTTCGTTATATTATATGGACAATGGTGTTTTACTGGAAACTAAAACACTCGTAGAACTCACACATCACTACATTCGGGACTAGGTGTGCGTATTTTCCGTATTTCACCCCTGCGAGTGACATACGAATTTCCCGCCATTTTCATTGTTGTTATTTTTGAAAATACAAATGATCTTTGGTTCGCATATAAAACGAAATGTTATGTTGTGTTTTCACTCCGTAACATGATAATAACAGATTTATCTCCGTAACAGATTTATCTTTCTGCTTACGCTGGGTATGGAAATGATGAAATACACACTCGAGAACATTTTCTACATTTTCTGAATTAATATAAACGAGTATGTTTATGACAGTATATAGTTCATAATTTCCAGTCTTAAATCCGTCAGACCGTGTAGCTCAGTTGGTAGAGCGTCGATCTAGTAATTCGAAGGTGGCGGGTTCAAGACCCAGCCGCTCTCTCCTCCGCAGAGGCTTTAATTGGCTACGAAGGCGCAAAGCCTCTGCACAATGCCACACCCAATATGGCGGTAAACCGGGGGGGGCGTATAATTATCAAACGCAAAATTGAAGTCAAAAGTGACTGAGAAAATATCTCTTTACAATACTGCAACCAGCTGACAAAGAGATTATTTACTAGCTCTACGAAATAAGAAAGTGTTATGTCCTGTTTGCGAGAAAACATCTGCTATTTTTCTAAACAGCACTCCATAAACTATACTATAAAACAATGTATGGAAACAACGTATGTAGCGAACAGGTTTTGGGCTTTGGTTGCAAGCGAAGAAACTTTATATTTGACATTTGTATTTTTAGAAATATGTCCAAAACCGCATAAAAGAAAAAAAATGAGTATGTATTGCATACAGAACCATTACTAAATTTATTATCAAGACTGAAAGTACAAACGTGACCTTTAATAAGTCGGTTTCGACCTGGTTATTCGGGTTCGTATTTTTGGTTCAATATATGCTATGTAGATGAAAATACCATCGTTCGATTCAGTACAAAGATATCTCCTAATTTCTATCGATAGTTGTAGTGAAATGTCAACACTATAGCGATTTATGGCCTTTGAAAGTCAAGCGGGATTGTATATTATCAAATCACGCAATATTTATACTGGATAAATATTAACTAGGCATACCTTTCCCCGAACATAACTTCGGCTCCTTGGGACACATCCTCTTTGTGTTAGTCGTGTTCGACAGAGAATTCAAAACACTATTTAGAGTATTATTTTTGAGCTTGTATCTTGAAAACTGCATCTTTTATTATGGTATTTACATTTCTGGTCTGATTGTGAACTAATTCCCGAACTTCAGCCTGTGACAGTGCGAGTAAAAACCCGATATTTTGAAAAATTATAAATAAATATTTTTACTGGCCGTATTCAAACGAAATTTCCTACACGAAAGCGCTTGAATACAAGGAGTATTTTACTTCTTTGACTTGTGGCGAACTCCGAAGAGTTCAAGAGATATTCAAGTTTTTCTCGATACGAAACTGATACGGAATGTTTGGCCAAGCGGTGAGTATAAAAATATACGATTGTTTTGCTTTGTGTAATATCAAAAAATCTTATTACTTTTGACCATCCACAAAGATGCAAGCACTAGTGAATGAGGTCAATCAATCATGCATTAAGTTTTATGATATTATTTTCAAAAAGGCGCATGTTATTTAGCTTAAAAATCACCTTTTGTTTCGATGTTTACACTTTGTCCCACTTTGCGATGCAAATCGTGCAGAGGCTTCGCGCCTTCCCTCGCCTTTTCCCTTTGCCGCCTGCGCTCCTTCGCCCAGCGACTACGCTCGTGTTCCAAGATCCGCCATGTGGAGTGTAGTGAAATGTATCTTAAAGCCTCTGCGGAGGAAAGAGACCCAGCCGCGTCTTACCTTAGTCATGCACAATCCTAGTGCAATAAATCGTCCCTTGATTTGGACATCTCTCTGGTTCTTCAAGCATTCCAAACCGCAGTCACATTTGCCAAATAAATTAAAAGGTCCTCCACATTTCTCCTCCTTAACCTTGGCACACACAGCACAACACCCGCATACATCAGAAACAAGTCCACCTTTGCATTTCAATTTGTGAATCGCAGTACACTTGATAACACCAGAGTCACAAATCGGACACCTGAGGGCCTGAGTTATTGCGAGAATAGCTATTAAGATGATTGTCTTCATTATAGTATTTGCTGAATATGAGTTAATTTCTAAATGCAAAAAAATAAACGACGCTGTTAAGAACACACTCGTGCAGAGATATACATTTGGAAAACCAAGGTAGCTAAGTTTTAAATGAGCCTCGTTATTAAGATAATGTTCGTAGTTATAGGGTGAGGTGCAAAGCCAAATTGTAAAGGTGGAGTATCGTGCATGTTCTCTGCCCGTAAAATAGTGAACACGTTGTGCATGTGGTAAAACAGTTTATATAATAACTACAGTGAAACACGCAATTTGATTGGTCAACAGCCGTGCAGGATCAGACAATCCTGCACGGAAAATTCTGAACAGAAATTATTGCATGTAATTTTACAAGTATACTCGCATTGTAAAGTTTCATTGTACGATACCTTTCGACTTTGAAGTAAGTTTCGAATTATTGAGACGTTAGTTTAGTTGTATTAATAAATTTCTGATCGATACATTGCTATTCAGCAAGTAACAATGCGTAATTAAGCGTTGAAATACATCCGACCATGGCATGCAAGTACAACATCTCTCGCTTCAAAGTTGATCAGACGCTTCGCAATCTTCACATATTCAGGTCGAAAATCTTCAAAACTACTTTGGCTCTCTGTTTAGCGGGTTTTCCATTTCAAATTTCGTATATTTTATCGAAAAAGTCCCTGTATTTTCGCTGTATACTTTCGCGAATTTGCGATCAAATTCTGTTCACATATGTTGTTGTTTTCAATAGCGTGGAGTAGCGATTCTCTGATTGGTTAATTCACGAATGTTGTGAGAACTGCACATTTCATCAGTAATTTCAATCAAGTTAAGCGTCGTTTCACTGTAGTAATTTTACAAAACAATTACCAAATGGTTTTCCCGTGCAGGATAGCATGATTCATGCACTTGGGATGTTGCTCGACTTTCGGAAAGCGTAAAAATACACTCGCCTACGGCTCGTGTTTTTTACTCTTTCCGAAAGTCTCGCAACATCTCGCGTGCATGGATCACGCAATCCTGCACGGAAAACCATTCGGTATTCCTTTAATAATGTCAATTAAATATTTTAGTTACCGATATTGAAGCAAGTGATATTCTTATTCTTCTATCAAGGGAATTTGGTGGCGTAGTCGTCAGAGAAAGCGCCTTCCACCTCTGAGATGCGGTTCGGTTCTCGCTACGAACTCATGTGAAAAGAGTCACTCAACTCTCAGCCGAATGTCGTGCAGGGTTTTCTCCGGGCGCTCCAGTTTCCTCCCACAGGGCAAGTTGAGAGGGTTTTTAGGTAAACACTGTTAGGAAAGTAATATTATTGCAACAACCTGATCGTTCTTAGCCTTGTAGGCTAAGTAAGTATGAAAAGCTCCAACAGGGAGTGAGCTGACAGTGAGCTGAATAATAATGTGATGTCATGCGCAATGATTTTATTAAAGCTCAACTCCACTACCATATCCGTTTTTGAACATATTGTTAGGCATATCAAATCATAGCCAATAATTTAAGAAAATAAAGTACGAAATAAAACCCGAGAAACTAAAACATCTTGTAAAGCGGAGTATATAATTATGCGGACTATATAGACGCCATATGCAAGACCTAAATGTAAACTGTAATAGCCTACATGCCTAAGTTTGAGTTTTTCAAAATACTTAATTTTATTCATGGGTTTTTATTTTATATTTTATTATCAAATTATCTACACTGTGCTGTATAACTCCATAGGTTCTGGTTCATCAGTTAAGTCAAGCTATTAGAAGTCACTAACACATCGAGTTGATACGCACATGATCAAATTACATAAGCATTTTGGTACCCACCAGCAGAAGATTATATACTGACTATACTCGTCCCTTAATTAGTTTGAGTTATGAGAGGTACCGTTTTATACATGGTAGCTATATTAACAACATCAGATCACAACAATACCGTTGCATGATCTATAACCGCTAGTCATGCTGTATAGTAAACTGGGGGGCGGGGTGGATTAGCAGGAATTTTGAAATATATTGCTATTTCCAGCATGTTGTACATATAATTGCGAAAATTGTAAAGTACAAGAATTTTAGCGGATAACTGATCTATTTTAACCGTGCAAAGCATGCATGTAATAAACTTATATTCAATTGCGATCACAAAGAGATTACAACAGAATGATTAGTCTAATGCACAATAATAAAACGCATGTATGAACGCAGCAAAGCAAAGTCTCAATTATCAAAATGGCATAAAATTTCGATAATTTTAACAGCTCAACTTGTATTCCATCGCCGTAGCAAGCTGGTAATGTCTGATCAGCCAAATATTTGACGGCCAACCAGAATTCAAACGTTTTAGTATTTTGCTCGCATTAGGAGAAATTCAAATTTCGTCACTAAGAAATACCTTGTAGTTTGATATAATGTTATTTATATAACAATTTTTTCACGTATTGATTTGGTGTGCTCCATCGACTTATTGGCCACTCGAGAAGTTGGAACACCACTCTAGCGCTATAGAGCTGGGTCTTGGATGGCACCTTGACCAAACCTTGCACTTTTTCGTACTCTCCTATATAAGTTGCTTATTTTAATCCTATTTTTATCTGTGGTATGTAACTTTTTCGATCTGCGATTATTGCTATTATTATATGGCTTTTCAAAATTCTTGACAAGCGGTGCGTAAAAACCCGTATCCAGACCGTGGTCCGTATTTTCCTTATCTGGCCCGGTGTCCCGGAAGTCGTTTATCTGGCGGGAAATTTTTGCTTCGCAAACAGAAAAATTTTTTGCTTTTCCATTTTCCAATTGTGTGTCATTAAAATTTACAGATGAAAATTTCAAACAACCAAATTGTTTTTGATTGAGCATGCATGCCTACCGTATATTGTTACCCAGTGAAACTGACGATAGCCGATTTAAAATCGCGCGAAAAGCATATGCTCACAAACTCAGTTCAACCATATAATAAACCGATTATTGACCTCGCTTGTTCTGTCTGTACTGTGAAATATCAGACCTCTGTTGTTTTGCATACTAAAAGTGCTTGGTCTGATATTTCACAGTACAGATCTCACGCTCGGTCAATAAGCCGTTATTATTATATTAGATTGCCATGCATGAACAGAAAAATCTAAATGATAATTCTGTTGTTATACATGAACAGATAAATCTACTGTAAGTGACAATTCTATGGGGATGCATGACCACATAAATCAAAATGTCAGTAATCAGTTGAATACATAATTATCAAAATATAAGTACAGCATTGCTTCTGATTCATCTCCATAGAATTAAGGAGTTCGTCATGTCCGGGATTGCTCAGAATGTTGAAGATCAGGATATCCCATCCTTGTTGAAAGGATTCCCTCTTGGGGGTTGTTGGTTCTACCGTCACAAGATGTCGGTATCAACAGTTTGCATTTCACAAATGTGAGCCAAAGGGCTTCGTTTTCAATCAAAGAACATGCATTTGCGGGGACATGAAGTTAGCAGAAATTGATCATTTCCGTTTACTTTTGAATAGAGATAAATAAGTTGGTGTTACCTTTCGTCGCTTTTCCAAATATTATAATGATGGCTCAAATTCCCATCAGAATGTCTCCACGATTACAGAGGATTAGGCAGGTGAAGCGTAATCCTCAAAATATAATATCTGTGAACATTTCGCATGGAGCCCTCTCAAACGTCATGATGAATAACCGAAAACATTCATGTAACAGAATAAAGTTATCTCATCCCAATGTGCGGTCAGTTAGAAAAAGAAATCATTTGATTCAAGTAAGAGAACTGGTCGTTGACGAGAAACTAGACATTTTGGCATTATCAGATATATGGCTAATTTCGTCCACGACTAATGGTCCTATTACACGGACTTGATAGTAAGCATACAAAGGGTGGTGGCGTACTGTATGTATTTACGTCCGTAATGCCCTCAAGACAAAAGTTTTGAAAGATCTGTCGTATATTTCTCCAGTAGGTTTCCATCAACTTTGCTTGCAAGTACAAACGAATAAAAACAAATCTATGATTGTTTGCGTTACTTATAGACCCCATGATTGCTCGGTTACATGTAGATAAGATGAACTTAAATAAGGTACCCTATATTTATATTTATATTTAAATGAAGTATTTAGTGGTATCATGTACGTATACCGCGGGACGGTGAGAACGGGGATTCAAGTATGGCGGACGAGAAATTTTAGATATTATTTGATGTAGTGTGAGAAAGATTGATGAAATTGAACTTATATTAATGGCGACGAGTGGAAAATCGAACTCATGCAATAACTGAACATCGTAGTTAAGTACAGCATTCTTCTAAACGTAAATTAATGGGTTTTGTGACTTATTAACATTGAAAATATGTATTCTAGCGAACCAAGTCAACAGCATGTTCTTTGACCATGACAAACACCCGGAAGATACATTGAAGGCATTTCAAGAGTTCATACAAACATTTGAATTAACATATCACGCTCAATAGCCAGATCCACCAAATGTATCGTTAGATTCAGCTGTAGAGAGATGGAAAGTTGCAAATACAACCGAAAGCAACCCTCAGCCTAAACCAACATCGGACCAATACGACAAAATCCGGGACGAATGGCAAGCCAAGGACAAAGTTGCAAAATTCTTGGGAAAGTTTTCGTCGAGGCGATTTTACTCGGATTGGCAGGTGGCTGAACCAGATGAATCAATCAGAAATAAGGAAAAATGGCCGGCGTTTGTAAGAAAAATACAAGAGTTTTACAAACCCACAGACAACCCCACGCTTAAGAATTTTCATTTTCGGGCATTGACACAGCAAGACCAAGAATCTTTCCCGGCCTTCTGTAATCGTGTTGAAAAGGAGGCTAGACATTGTCGGTTTAATTGTGACAATGAAAATTGCTCAGCAGAAAAGATTGCAGTCCGAGATCAAATAGCGATTGGGACACATAACAATAAGATACGAGAGGAGGCATTGAAATTGTCGTGGGATCTCGCCACCCTGAGACGCGAAGGCATGAGAATGAAAGTGCAATAAGAGGAGGTGCCGAGATAACAGGGGAAACCGTCAATAGATTATTCATATGCACACATGAAGAAGGAGGATACGGGGCAAAGGACTGCGAAGAGAACAATAAGCTGTTACAACTGTGGAAAGTCGCTGGCCAAATTATGAAGCACAAGGAAGTATGCCCAGCACGAAATGTGAAATACAACAAATGTGGCAAAGCCCGACACATTGCTAAAGTCTGTAAGAGCTCTGAAGATATCCGACAAGTGGAGCCAGAGAACGAGAGGGAAGATGATGGGGTATACAACATTAATTTATTTAGAATCAAGACTTCAGCAAGATCAGTCAAACCAAGGTTGTCATCAAGCATGCGAGATAAAAATGATTTCAAAACGCAGTTAGTGGTAAACAATTGCCTGGATACAGTGATAATTGATACAGGTGCTCAAGTTAGCGTCTGTGGAACAGTCCAAGCTAAAAAATGGAACATGCTTGGGAAAATGATTCCCTCAAAAGTGAGAATAAAGCCATATAAGAGCACTCCGATACCAGTGCATGGTCAGGCTCGATGTGCAGTTACGTTTGGCCAAACATCTGTCCCTGTCATGTGGCATATCATCTCGGGATCGTGTGAACCAATAATAGCGCGGAAGATGGCCTTGCAGCTTGGTATCATTGATTTTAACGCCAACCCAGACACACATTTCATCCGATCCTTATGATAGATGCTGAAGATAAAGGCAATCTTCAAGAAATATTGGCGAGGTATCCGCAAAATTTTAATGGTATTGGCAAGCTCCATCATCACAAAGTTAAATAACATGTAGACAAGGAAGTTAAACCAGTCCATGTGCCACCAAGATCATTTCCATATCATCTTAAAGAAAGAGGTCAGAAGGAAATTGAAGATATGATCGAGCAAGACGTCATCGAAGAACACCCCAGGGATGAACCTGCCCCATGGGTTGCAAATGCTGTTTTGGCACCAAAGGATGACGGTAGTCTTTGGGTTACAATGGATGCCCGCAACGTAAGCAAAGCCTTGTACCCAACAAATCACCCTATCGCACGTCATGAAGATATCAAAGCGAAACTATCTGGCTGTCGAGTCTTCTCCAAAATGGATTTTAAATCCGCGTTCTGGCAGATTGAATTGGAGCCTGAATCGAGATACTTGACTGTTTTCCACGCCAATTATAAATTGTATCGTTACAAGCGCTTAACCATGGGCCTCCAACCATCGCAAGGAGAATTAAATGCTGGGCTCCTCCCTGTATTGGCGCATATTCCCAACGCCCATCTAATCCATGACGACCTCATCGTAGATCGATCGGTTGACCTTTGTATGCAGGCCATTTCGGACGCGGGAATAACACTGAATGCAAAAAAGTGCCAGTTTGGAAGGAAAAAAATTTCGTTTTGGGGAATGATCTATGGTGAAGATGGTGTTAAACCGGATCCCTCGAAGGTGGAAGCACTTGTACATCTTACTGCCCCGACTAGCAAAGAAGAATTAATCAGTTTCCTATGCATGATGCAATCGAACTCGGAATTTGTTCCAAATTTTGCCCAGAGGTCGGCAAAGCTTCGAGAGTTGACGAAAGGGAGAGCAAGATTTGTTTGCAGCAACGAGCACCAGAAGGGGTCAATCCGCATAGATCGTACCAAGCTACCGCATCAAGATGTTAGGTACGAGGTCGTGTACCAAGAAGGAAAGCTTAATCAAGTTGATTTTACGTCAAGGAAAGCCAAACCTTTACAAATGATGACGAACGAGGAGCGAGAAGAAGCAGAAGAGCTCAATAATCTCTTATATATGCTACACACCACGCCAATTATGGATAGCATTGGGATTGGTAATATTGCAATGCACACGAAGATTGATGAAACATTAACTGAACTTGCAAAGATTATACAAAATGGTCGAAAATGGATACCAAAAACTTCGCATCCTAAAGTACGAAGTTTCGAGCAAATTATCCCAGAAATAACCATCGCAGAAAACGGCGTTATGTTCAAAGGAGAGAGAATTATTCTTCCAGAGAGCCTGCAAGATACAGCAATTCAGCTGGCCCACGAGGAAGTCACCTGGGACAGAGTGGGATTAAAAGGCGTCTAAGGTATCACTTTTTCTTCCATGACATGCATCCCAAAGTGAAGCAATTCGTCGAGAGTTGCAAAGAGTGCAATATGTTCAGTGACAAGAAGACGTCCGAACCAATTAAAGCGCACGAGGTACCAAGAAAATGTTGAGAGACGGTTGCAGTAGATCTATTTGGCCCTATGTTGTCCTCAAAGCATATAGTTGTCGTACAGGACCTAGCTTCAAGATTTCCAGCAGCAAAGTTGGTTGCCTCTACCAAAGCTTCCCATGTTCTCCGGGTATGGCCGAGATATATAATTCGTATGGAAACCCAGAACATCAAATCTCGGATAATGGACCACCATTTAACTCGGAAGCTATGGAAGCATTTGCTCAGATGCGAGATATCCATTCGAAGAAGATCCCTCCATTGCACCCATCGGCTAATCGTGTGGATACCTTTATGAAGCCGCTTGGAAAAACCATGAAAATAGCACACTATAATAGGTCCTCGGAGAAAGAAGCGCTTAACCACCTGCTGATGAATTATCGTGACACTCCACACCCAGCTACTGGTATTCCCCCTGCAGCTATGCTTTTCAGAAAGGGTAGTAAAAGTGCCTTTCCAAGAAGATCTGTACCTGCAAAGCAAGTGGAAGAGGCTAGAGGAAAGGACAAGGCAATGAAGCAGGATCGTGGGGACCAAGTTAATGCATCTAAGTATAAGATACCGTCAGAGTTTCAAATTGGAGATGATGTCAAGTTACGAAATTACAGAAAGTCCTCCAAGTTTGATCCTGTATTCCTTCCAGAGCATTGTGAGATTGTTGAATGCTCAGATGATGGTCGATTCCTAACTATCGAAAGAAAGCGTGATGGGAGGATCTTTAAAAGACACCCGGATTACGTCAAATATTACTACGGACCGCATGATACAGTTATGGAAAGGGGCGTAATATCGGATGAAGCTATCGAAAATGGGGAATGGCATAGATGGTTTGAGCAGTGTAGACCCAAGGTAGATGACAGTTATGGAAGCGGAAATCAAGATGAGGAAGATAAACAAGAGAATAACCACGTAAAACCAGGGCATGAGAATGAAGGCGAAGTAGGCCGCGCAAACGACTGCCCTGGATCTTGCATTCCTCGTCGATCACAAAGGCTACGAAGACCTAACCCCAGATATATTGACTATGAAATGTAACATTTCAGATAACAACTGCTTTACCACCTTCGAGACACCAATCTTCTCTCGATCTGTTTGAATTTAGAACAGTCACACCTGACGAAGTTAGAACAGTAATTTTAAGTAGTCCATCAAACAAAGCTCCAGGTGCCGACATAGTCTTTCGAGACATGGTCCGGAAACTCAGTAAACTTCAAAGCGGTTGTAATGAGCTGGGATTTTATGTTGGACGGTACCTTACACCGCGGTGCACATATTTTCTTTTAGGTTTATTAATATTTAAATAGCATGGTTGAATGACTGAACTGAAACGTTACTATTGGATGATTTGTTCATCATACGTACTGAAATACAGTGTGTTCATTGACTGTGCAGCGTGCACAATACTGCATAAAATCGGACAAAAAGATAAAACAAAGATTTTAGCGAAGATTCCAAACCATGTTTGAAAGACTATTATTATTATTCATTATTATTATTAAAACATCTTTATACACAGTAGCTAATCAACTATAAAATATTTACAAGGTTTTTGTTGCTTTTTATGAGGCCGTGTAGTTACAAACAGTATAAGAAACTCCCATCCACCCTCCCCATATAATAACAGTAAAATCTTCACACTCAAACCCCACCAAAATAAGATAAAAGATATTTCAAGAGTTTTTATTTCTCTCATTCCAAACTTTAGCAGCAGCGTAACCGAAAGTACGTTTCGTTGAATTTGTTTTTGGCTTTGACAACATCAACTTAATATTATTGCTTCGTAATTCATATCTTACAGAGTTGGATAATTTAAACATATCCGAAATGTTCTTAGGACATTGGCATGTAAGTGCTTTTGATACGTATTTTAGTTGTTGTTCCTTCCTTCTTTCACTTAACGTTTTCTATTCTAGTTTCTTTAAACTAGCAATCGAGCATATTTCATATGGGTCGCCGGTAATAACTCTAGCAGCTCGATTTTGAAGCTTCTGAAGCTTCTTCCTCTTAAATATTCACCGCAGTTACTCCAAACCATTGAGCAGTAATCAAAGTGTGGTTGAACTAGGGCTTGGTAAAGATGTTGAAGAGTTTTGGTTGGAATATAGGGTTTTACACGGCGCAACATGCCAATGCCCTTTGAAGCTTTTTTACAATCTGCTTATCCCAGCGCAGATGTTCGTCAACCAATACGCTAAGGTATTTTTGGTTTCATCCTCTTTTAATACTTTCCCATCGATAGAAACATTAATGTCTTGAGAAAGATTGTTCAACCTTTGACGTGTTCGAATGATCATATATTCTGTTTTTTTCTACATTTAACGTTAATTTGTTTGAAAGAAGCCAGTGATGCATATTTTCCAATTCACTATTTTAAGGCTTCTTCCACATTAATTAAGCTAGATGAACGCACTGTAATATTTGTATCATCAGCATACATTGCTGCATGTGAGTTCTTGGGAAATCGTTCACATATAACAAAAATAGAAGAGGACCAAGATTTGATCTTTGTGGAACCCACAACTTACTTTCTTTGTGTACGATGTTGCATTATTGACCACGCAGAAGTGCCGATAAGATAAATACTCAATTTATTAATAAAGATTCACTTGAAGTGATTTTAGACCTTATTGCAGATATTATCATCTGTTCCTTGATGACATCAACCTATCCTGCAGTGTGGAAGATGCAGAAGTGGTACCGCTACACAAGGAAGGAGATCCTGAAATTGCTTCAAATAACCAACATGACTGCTGTCATGTTGATGTCGTCAAAAATATGCGACAAAGTCGAATTGAATCAGTATACAGAACATCTAATAAACCACAGATTAGAATTGACGATCGAGGCATCCAAGTGGTAACTGGAAAAACATTCCACCGAAACTCTTAACATTGCAGTGACAGACATGTTGTTGGAAGCAATGGACAATAAGCAGTTATCTATTGTTATATTTTTGGACATGCCAAAAGCCTTTGATAGTATTGATTACGACATGCTTATTCAAAGAATTCTAAACCTGGGTGTATCTTCTGCAGTGCATACGTGTTTAAAAGTTACTTATCCGACAGACGGCAGTGTTTCAGAATTGGAATTATACCTCTTCGGCGCTTGTTGCTTTAGCGTATGGAATTCCTCAAGGCTCTGTGCTATCGATTTCATTTAATCTATACACAGATAGCTTGTCTTCAGTTCCCAACAGTTGTAGTCTTGAATCGTATGTTGACGACTAGAAAACATTTCTATCGTTTCCATTATCGCGTAAGGATATATAGATAAGGATCTACACAGAGTTTTCGCATCGTGTTGTAACAGCAGCCTTCTTGCGTAGTTAATAGAATAGATGGTTTGGAAACTCATTAGAATAACAATATAACTCATCATCTATGTTAGTCTACGTTTATTCATAAATGTGGTGCTTCACTGTCACGTGTGTATTGTATTTTTGCCAAATCCACCAATAGCAATTTCCAACTTACCCTATTGTTCGAGTCACGGATAGGTAACTTAACTAAAACATTGACATTGATTAAGTGGGCAAAAATACAATACGCACGTGACGGTGAAGGGCCAGGTTGATGAATAACAGATTGACAAACATAGATAATGAGTTATATCGTTATTCTAATGAGTTTCCAAACCATCAATTCTATTAACTATGTTTAACACGTTTGATACTCTATTTACTTTAAGAAATTGACAAATACACCTCATGCGAGAAAAATACCACAAATGTAAAATCTCATAATATCCTGTGCTAAAAGTTAACATTTTGCTGTAATTTTGCCAAAAAATATTACGTGTTGCAAAAAAATGCAGAAAAGATCAATATTTTCAATAGGTTAGAATGTAATAAAATTAAAGAAGAGATTTTGGTCATTTTAAAAGCAGTACTCACCGATCAGCGCATTAATTGTTGGTTTGGATAAATCCAAGCCAATATTAATTAACACGAAAAGACACTACATGATTTTCATAATGGATGGCATTGTCACTGATATGTTGAAACCACATTTTTACATAGCTCATAAAATGGGGATATTTTCAAGTATTTTAAAAGTTGGTTTGGATAAGTCCAAGCCAGTATTCCAAAGACACTAAATATAAATTCTTAAACAGCAGTTGTCACCGCTTTGTCTAGACCACATTTGACATAGTTGATAAATTAGGAATATTTTGCAAACATATTAACAGTTGGTTTGGACAAATCCACGCCAATATGAAAAGGCACTAAAAAGGTAATATTTCAAAGCAGTTGTCACCGACATGTCAAGACCACATTTGCACATGATTGGTAAATTAATAATAATTTGCAAATAGGTTAATAGTTGGTTTGGATAAATCGACGCCAACATGAAAAGACACTAAAAAGGTCATTTTTCAAAGCAGATGTCACCGACATGTCGAGACCACTTTTGCACATGGTTGATAAATTAGGAATATTTTGCAAACATATTAGTAGTTGATTTGGATAAATAGACGACAACATGAAAAGACACTAAAAAGATCATTCGTAGCAAATCACTATGCTATGGTCTAAACGCGGCCTAAAGCTTCGCATGGACGCGTCTATACCATGTTTATTTGTGTTCGAATGACTTTTTTTACTTGGTGTGGATGCGTCCATGCCAACAATGGCATGGACGAGTACGCGCCAAGTTAAAAAAGTAATTGGAACATAAATATACAATGATGTGGCGCGTCCATGCCTTTGTATATTTATGTTCCAATAACCTTTTAAAATTTATGTTCCAATTACTTTTTTAACTTAGCGTGGACGTGTCCATGCCATGGTACATTTGTGTTCGAATGAATTTTTTAATTTTGCGTAGACGCGTCCATGCCATCAATGGCATGGACGAGTCCACGCCAAGTTAAAAAAATATTGGAACATAAATATACAATGGCGTTGGCGTGGACGCGTCCACGCCAAATTAGAAAAGTAATTGGAACATAAATTTCCAATGGCATGGACGCGTCCAGGCCAATTTTAAAAGATCATTGGAACATAAATTTAACTTGGAGTGACGTGTCCATGCCATTGTATATTTGTGTTGGAATGACTTTTTTAACTTGGCGTGGACGCGTCCATGCCAACAATGGCGTGAACGAGTCCATGCCAAGTTAAGAACGTAATTGGAACATAAATATACAATGGCGTGGACGCGTACATGCCATTGTATATTTATGTTCCAATGACCTATTAAAATTGGCATGGACGCGTCCATGCCATTGGAAATTTATGTTCCAATTACTTTTTTAACTTGGCGTGGACGTGTCCATGCCATGCATGTATATTTGCAGCCTAGTCCCTGGTCTTCCAAGCGCGGGCGAGTTACAGGCTGTCGTGAACTTGCGGGCTGTCAGTTTCGGAAAACATCCGAACTGGGTCGCGCTGGAAGGTCTAGCAAAATTCGAATAATCACATGGCGGTGTATTTTCGTGAATTGAATTAATCTTTACTATTGTATTAAAATGTAACGAAATGCTTTTAAAACACGTATTATATTTAAATTTTGTATTTTGTCTCGTTGATAAACCTTTCAGGACACCACTGGCACTGATAATTTGTTGGCTTTTCCACACAAAGACTGTGTTGACCGAAATGATTTGTTCAAAAATATAAATATTAACCAGCATTTCTCGACACAGCATTTAAAACCACACACTGGAAGTAATGGTAAGGTTAATGGAACAGAACATTTCACTTGCTAATGAAAGGACCGTTGCATGAATTTATTTTTAGAAAGTACATTGCAGTATCAATACAAATATATTTGTCTTTAATATTATTAATATTTATAATACCAAAGGTTTGACATATACCAGATTTAAGTTTTATTAGTGAAATATATAGTGCCCGACTATCAGTATCAAGCTAACTGAAAAGTCAAGTTGAACATGATACTCATATGCCAATTAAATTTCATTTTATATGCCCAATATATTTTGTTGACAAGTAAAATTGTCTGGCAATAAACAAAGTAAAATACCAGGATGAGAAAATGTATTGAGAAAATGAGAAAAGGTGTTTTGCC